AATATTAGCAATGTTAATGCATTTTACATATATCCATATATTACGTGTAAATACATAAAACTAATTCAATTGACACAAAATTTTATTATATATGATAATTTTTAACATATATAATATGTTTGATACATTTTTATACTAAATTAAAGTTCCTTGATTTGAACCAACTCTAAAGTACTTAATATTATATAAAAAAGAATTATTTATATACAAATATTAAATACAATATATATATATATATATATATATATACATATATATATATATACATATATATATATATATATATTATATAGATTTTTGTATTCTGCGCAACTCCAGAGAACATTTAAATTCTCAATGAACATCTGTGTACATTATATCAAAAACTTATTTTAATTTCTACTACATGATGTCGATTATTGATGATTAAAGAATAAGTAAATCTATAAAATCTAAAAATTTTTCGGGTTGTTCTATTTACGAGTAAATAATAATACTGAGTAATACATAACTGTAGCTTGCTGTGATAGTTTTCATACCCAAACGTTACTGCAAAAAGTTACTAGGCATTCTCAATTTTTATATGACTATAGGAATTTAATATATTACGATATTATCAAGAGTGAGCGATCATTGATATTGTCTATATATATCTATACACATACGAAATATACATAACGATGATAAAACAATTTCTTTCACTAGCTTACGATGATACGTTATTGACATTTTTAAAGTTCATTAAAAATAATTGTTCTTATACAACTTTTTGAAAAAATGGGTTCTGATCATACACATAGACGATGGAGTAATTTAAGAAAAATTTTGGAAAGATCTGGACCGTTTTGTAGACCAGATTTTGAACCATCTTCCGAAACATTACAATTTCTTTTAGAAAATTGTAAAATACTTGTAATAGGTGCTGGTGGTCTTGGTTGTGAATTATTAAAAGATCTTGCCTTAATGGGTTTTAGACAAATTCATGTGATTGATATGGATACAATTGAATTATCTAATCTTAATAGGTATACTGTTTGGTACTAGACAGATCATATGCTCGATTATCAGTTTGTTTTAAAATTATTTATTTTTACAAGCTAAAAACAATTTGCGAATTTCAATTTTCAGACAATTCTTGTTTCGTCACAAAGATATTGGCTCTTCGAAAGCTGAAGTAGCTGCAAGATATATAAATTCCAGAATCTCTGGGTGCAATGTAGTTCCACATTGTTGTAAAATACAAATGAAAGATGAAGCATTTTATAGGCAATTTCATATTGTCATTAGTGGTTTAGATTCTATTGTTGCAAGAAGATGGATCAATGGTATGCTGTTATCTCTTTTAGTTTATGAAGATGGTGAATTAGATCGTTCAAGCATTGTACCCATGATTGATGGAGGAACTGAAGGTTTTAAAGGAAATGCAAGAGTTATATTACCTGGATTAACAGCTTGCATTGAGTGTACATTAGATCTATATCCACCTCAAGTAACCGCTCATAATATTAATATTTAATACCTGAAGCTAACAAAATAAAAATTCTTTGCATATTTTTTCATAGATTACATACCCACTGTGCACGATTGCCAATACACCACGTTTACCAGAACATTGTATAGAATATGTTAAAGTAATACAATGGCCAAAAGAAAATCCATTTGAGTCTGTAATAGATGGTGACGATCCACAACATATAAATTGGATATATGAAAAATCTAGTGAAAGGGCAGCTCAGTTTGGTATACAAGGTTTAACATATAGACTTGTTCAAGGTGTCGTAAAAAACATTATACCCGCTGTAGCATCTACGAATGCAACAATTGCTGCAACTTGTGCAACTGAAGCATTTAAGCTTGCTAGTAGTTGTAGCGCATCCTTAAATAATTACATGGTATTTATATTTGATTAAATAAGTTTGCATTTTGTTTTATTCAGTTCTGATACATTTTCAGCATTTTTATATGTATAAGGTAACAAAGATATTGCTATTCATAATATTTTTGCTTATAAGGTACTTAATGATCTGGATGGAATTTATACATATACCTATGAAGCAGAGAGAAAAAAAGACTGTGTGGCATGCAGTCAGCTAGCAAAGGAAATAGTAATTACAGATTCTAAATTCAAATTGAAAGATTTAATAGAATTGCTATGTAATAAACCCGATTTACAAATGAAAAATCCTGGTCTTACTGCCAATATTGATGGTAAAAATAAAACTTTATATATACAAGCAGTTTCAAGTATTGAAGAAAAGACCCGTGAGAATTTATCTAAAACATTAACAGATCTTGGACTAAAAGATGGCAATGAAATAAACGTTGCTGATAGCACAACGCCAAATGCAATTGTAATACGACTGAAATTTTTATTTTAATTGAAACTGTTAATAATACTTACAATTCTGCATAATAAATATATTCAAGATTATTGCGGTGATATCAAAGAACTAAAATACAAAACATATATTGTAAAAAATAAATATCTTCCCATTATTTCTAAAATTTCTTTTAAAATAGCCTTCTATTTGTTTCTGATCTATTCAGGTAACAAAAAGATTTATAATAAAAACCTCGTTTTTATGGTTTTCTTTTTCTTTTTAGCTAAAGAAATATTTTTTATAGGATTTAATTCAAACTAATGAGATAATAATTTTTCTATAATATTAAGTGTTAAATAATAGTTTAACGCATGTGCATTCACTATTTAATACACAAGTTATTAAGATGAGTTTAAAATAATATTGTTCTAAATAAGTATATTATTTAAATACTTATTGCTCTTATTTTACTCATTTTGGAATACCTACCATACATTTCGCAATGTTTTCTTCTGCAATGTATGTACATATTTGCTAATAGTATATTTCTACAAGTAATAATAGTCATGGAAAACTTCTCTTCATTATACATGGTGTAATAACTCAGAGTTAAAACATATTTTTAGCATGTTTGGTATTTTGATAGTATATAAGTTTTCTGCATGACTCACATGGTGATAAGTTAAATAATTGATTTTGAGATATTATGCGAATAAAAATTGTAAATTCATAAAAATTTAATATATATGATTCACGAAATTCGACTTTTTAAATTAGTTTTAAAGAAAAAGATTTAAGATTCACATTTTATGATAACGAATCATGTAACACAATATTTGATAAAATTGGCTAAAGTAACTCGATTAAATTAAAGCAACATTAATTAAATCGAACTATCATTTTAAATTAAAACCTATATTCTTAGCTACACTTTTTTCCCCACTTCCATTTAACATTTTTAAATAGAAAAAGAAATTTTTAACAGTTGTCATCATTGTGAAGTTTGTCATGATCTAAAATTGTTGGAATTTGTTAAATATTTTTATATATGTGTGATGAAAAAATAAAAGAAAATAAATATTAAAAGGCCTTTCACGCATTAAATATAATAATGACCATATGGCATTTGTTCATGAATTAATTGTAAAAATAATGCATTTTATACTGCAACTATCGCGGAAATATTAATTTAATCAAAATAATATTACCTTTTATTTTGTATGATCGCGTTAATAAACATTTATGATGCACTGTCCTTTCTACATAAAAAATTGTTTATATTGCTTTGATCATAATATATATAATTTAATTCACAATATTATATTATCATGCGCTAGACTACATAAAATAAATAATGTAGCCAGTTGGAACATATTACATATTTTTATTATCAATATAATGATAAATAGAATGTTAAAATAAGATTAAGAGCAAAGGAAGGACAGTGCACAGAAGATTATATCTCTCATCGTATAAGCACATTCTGTAACATTCGACATATACACAATTCGTTTAGAAAAAATATTTGTAACAGACACATCTATCCTTTTTATATAAAACTATTTTAACACACATTATTAATATTTTGCGCTTATTACCTCAATAAGTCGAATACTTTCCAAGTATGTCATACGATAGAGGTCCATTTTCCATTTCGTTAAATGCGAACAATACGAGAAGCAAGTGTTGATCTATGCAAAGTACTTCTCAATTGCCGATATAAAATTTTTATAAGATGCTTAAAATAAGTTTTAGAATGATTGCCTTTCCGTCGAGGAATTTGCGCAACGAAACACTTCAAGACTTATTAGTATTTCATTGTTTATGCATAATCCTAGCATATTTGACATATTTTCCAATTTTACAAGTTCAAGCCAAATGTGTTTATAATTTAAATTCCCAAATACCACTAAGATAGCGTATAAAATCAGATTGTATAGAACTAGTATTTATCAAATTAAGTGTATTTTATCCTACCCGCTATACTTCCACTGACACAAAATTGTTGCTGTTTTACGACTAGTTTATATTTACGTAAATTGATTATTAAAATAATTGAAGTTAATGAGGGTAATGCAATTTGATTATGTTGTTTGTTTATGTTTTAATGAACATTATCAAAAAGTTTGTCCCTATATGTAAAAGAAAGTCAAAGGCGGTATATGTATATATTTATGACACTCACTTACGCGCGCGTACACACATACACGCACAACATACATATACAAATATATGCATGATGCGTGCATGGCTATACGTAAAACAAAGGCATATTTATAATTAAGTAATTATGAATATTAATAAAGACATGTGTATATATATATATATATATATATAATATATATTGTGTATGTGTGTATATATATATATATATATATATTTATACACGCTATATATATATATATTTATATATATATATAATTCGATTAATCGAGATATTTCACAAAATCAGTTACGTATTGTTATTAAAGTGACATTGGTTTAAATATTATGTAAGATGTAATGTAATGTAAGATATCCGCAACAATTTTTTAAGAACATTCATCAATTTATGTAGAGTAACAATCTGCGTCATTGAAAGATGTTCTGGTATAAAAACGTAAGTGTCAATGAATTATAATATGAAGTGTGATGAAGTGTCATTGTTACAGAGTAAAACTAGACACTTTTCAAATAATAAGCACTTTTATGTATTGGCTGAACTTGAATTTGTAAATAAGATGTGGAAATGATAAAAGCATTAAAACATAAAAATCTACATTTTGTTAAAGTGGGCATCAATGGTTAAGAATAAAATTTGAAATACAGTATTCTTTGAAAAGTTTCTGATTTTACTCTTTATACTGCTAGATAATATGAAAGGGATAGTGCTTGATGACAATAAATCATAGCGAGCATAACTTCATTGTGTTAGGCCTTAGCATCAACTTCCATTGCTACTTCCCCCACAGCTTTCTCAGCCTTCTTTTTCTTTTTCTTTGCAGATTTTGGATTTGCAGAAGTATATAACAGACTCTGCAAAGATAATAATTTTATTACAAAAACAGATTAAACATCAGATGTTCGTACGTCATAATAAATTGAAAAATCATTTTAAATTTCTCCTTGAAATCAGTTTATGATTGTAAATAAATTATAGTTAAAAATATTGAAGCTAAAAACTTTTGTATTAACAAGTAGTTCGATATAAACAAATAGTTTTTCTTTGGAAATTAAATAAAATATGTAATAACATAAAATGTAAAAAAATTCTATTTGTAAATTTTTTAGAAATAAAAATAGTATCTAAACATGTCATGAAAATAATATCTAAAGACAAGATAGATATTTTGTATACCTTCAATTCTGGATCTTCCACTACGCAGTCTGATTGATAAATGTCAAGATCAAAAGGAATACCAGTAATTTTATGTGGTCCATTAGGCATCAATAATACCGTAAACTTAAACTGAGCAGCATATTCATTTGGTTTTTCATATAATACCTGAAATAATGTGAGATGTCATATATATATAGTATACATATAGTATATTTTATATATTTATAAATTAGTACTTTAGTAAAATTTCATGAACTCCTTACTTGAAATGGTTCAATCAACCTATGATTAACACATTCAAGAACTGCCATCTTTGCTTTCTTTTCATCTTCAAAGGTACGTAAGTTAAAAGGCATGAGTCCATGTTTGTTGGAAACTTCTGAATAAAACATACGAGATGCTTTCAGCTTAAGCTGATATGTTTCTTCAGTTTTTTTATATATAGTAACACGAGTATCTTGCTCTCGTCCAATACCTTCACCTGTACTAACAAGTACATCCATTGCATACACCTAAAAGAGAAATTTATATAAAGTAATTACATATAAATGTACTGCCTTATTATTTGTGAAATTCCAAAAATTAATTCTTTAAAATACATAATTTGTTTCTCTTACTTCATGGGTTTCAAGCGTAAACTTCTCATGTTCTTTTTTTTGTGCATCATTTGGATTTTGTATTATCGTCTTTTCTCCATCTATCTTAAATTGTTTCAATTGATGACTTAACATTCCTTCAATTGGTTTACATTTATATGCATCACAAATTTTTTCTACTGTTCCCGTTATCGTGTATGTCTACAAAAATACAGCTAGTATTAGACTAATACAGTTTAATTTCATCATGAAAATTATATTTTCTATTTATTAATTTTTTAAATTGTAACGAATCATACCTCTGTTCCAGGTTTTAAAAGTCTTAGCGCAGCTTGAGATGCATAATGTGCAGCTAAAACTGCATCAGCTTTTCTACCTGTAACTTTGCGTTCCGTCGAAGAGCCTATAACTATAGTGTGTGCCACAACTGCTATAAAGCCATCAATGTGTGCTCCAAGATCACTAAAAATTATACATTACAATGACCAATGTTATTTTACTTTACTATTAACGACATTAGACTGCCTCTGGTATCTGTACTTAACACAGTGGTATTTATGTAAATAATGGATTTATCCAAGTGCACGGATATAAACTGCTTTCATTGACAAGCACACCTATAAATTGTGTTGACTAATACTTATGTAAAGCAATTAAAGATTATCTTACAATAAATAATATGCACTTACACTTTAACCATATCTTCATCTTTGAGTATTAGATCCGGTTCACTTGCAATAGGAGAAAAGTGACAAATACAGTTGTTAACTGATATGCAGGTTGGAAAAGCTATTCCTTTCTTAAGTTCCTTCTCTTTTTTAAAAACTTTACTAGTTTCTTCTGTTAAAAGTGTATCTCCATATTCACATATCTCTCTCACAGATGCTCCAACAATACATTTGTCTAAAACTTGTTTTAGTACACCTACAATAAATAAGATACATCAAATTTACAATTAAAATAATAGATTTAATATTTTTGTTCATTCTAATATATTTTTAAAATAATAGTTGCCTTTTAAAATAGTTATGTTTATAGATTTTTATAATAGTTACTTTATAAACCACATTTTACGGATAATTCTTAAATTTATATTTGTTTGTTAAAAAAAGGATATCAGTCTTATATAGAAATGCTTTTAATATTAATTTCATGAACATATTAAGTCCAAATCAAATTGTTTATAAAGAGATTTCAATTGCTTCAATTACTTAGGAAGTGTGAAAGAAAACGCGGGCATTACTGAGAATATTTTATATCATTCGAAAACCTCATATTAAAGCTAGTCCTCTGATAAAACTTCATAGAAAAATCAAGAATAAGCGGAAGCATATAATTATGATATTTATAAGAGCGATATTCTTAAAATTTTTTTTTAAATTTAAAGAAATTTATATCTCAAAAAAATATTAAAATGAGAGTCGATGCTAGCTATCCCACATGGTAAGAGCCCGGCATTGGCGCGCCACGTTCCATATGGCCGTACCAAAATTGAACCAAGTAACCATTGACGGCAACATATACCCAAATCATTTTTGATTTTCAAGCTTCTCGAAAGAATGGTAAAATGTTTTCTTACGATTTACTATCTCGCCAGCCATTTTATACTTGGTAACAACCAAGTCTTCGGCAATGGTCTTCTCAGGCTCTTCCTTGTCCGCCATGTCTTCAGCACACTACATCTGTGGTCACGTGATTTCAGAAGCTCTTGTATAATTTGTATTTCGATTTGTAGCCGGCGCCACTGTATGCTTTTATAACGCCTTCTATAAGGCTATCATATATACCGGTATGATTTGATTAGATTTTTATTTGAATCTTTTTTCGAATGATTTATACATTACTTTTTTAAAACAAGTAAAATAAAAAAACATCGATCATAAGCGTACTAATCTTTTTCTTACTTCATAATAAAAGAATGTAATTGATTGTTTGAAAATTATAGTTTGATCATTTTATAAATGATCGTAATCGCATATAGGGTTAACATGTTTCATACATACATGTGGCAGAAATTGTAACATAAGCGTCATCTTGGTACATCGATTTTATTCGTACTAAGTTTAAAAAAATGTGTAATTCATATATAGATTATAAATTTTAAAGTAAATTATGAAGTATTAATTTTTTTTATATAATATATATATAATCTTTTAATACATATAACTGTTAAATCATAAAATTTGTACTACACAAATCGATCGTACTCATCAGACAAACTTAACCATATCAAACCCACCATATTATTCATATCCTAACCAACCCCCACACTTTTTATTATTTTTGACATCGTTTAGTCATAAACTAAATATAAGCAACGATGTAGAAATAAAGCATTATATAGAAATACAAAAATTGTGTATCAAGATGGCGGAAGTACGCCATAACAATTTTGTTTTGCTGAGGTTACTTATTTACTTTTTTTTTACTTTTAACCTTATACATACATTTTTCATTTAGATAATTATCTATTAGACCATTAAGAAAGACTATTCAAAAATGAAGATAAACTATTCTAGGGTATTATACAAGATATTTACAAAATAAAAATATTCAGAACTTAACCTAAGATAAAGAAATTAGAAACTTCTACATATCAATAATTTTTAAAATAAATTTGTCTAAAATATTTTTTTAAAAAATATTTTGAAAAAAAAAAGTTAATTTAAAAATATTTCATTGCAGTAAAATATAAATTAAAAGTAAAATCACTAAAACAATTACAATTGTTATAAAAAGAGTTTATTTTAAATCAATTTTGATGCATTATATGTAATTATTTATCAGTAGTAATAACATAATACAATTTAAATTGTGTTGTGCAATGGTTGTTTTTCTGTTTTATTTTTTTTACAAAGATTGTATATCTTTTACACTTTGGATAAATATTGCATCTAAATTATAAATTAATACTATTATCCTGATTATAGTTCTATTTTTGTTAATATCTCCTTATACAAGAATTATATTTTTGCATTTAGATATATTACTTTTTCTTACTTTTCCCTAATGTAAGTGTATGATGTTGTGGTTGTTGAGCAAATTGCGTTTTGCGTCTATTAAACTCTAAGATATCATCTTCAAGTTTTTTTCGATTTTCTTCCAATTTCTTTTTTTCTTCCGTATGATCTTTTTTTAATTTATCAAATTTATTGTGGAGCTGCCATGTTTTACATGAAAATAAAAATTGCACAAATAATAAAAAACAATACAGTATAATGAAAGTTCTTAATAAAGTTTACCTCCTTTTCAGCTTCTTTAAGTTCAGCTTCTTTTTCTTTTACTCTTGCAACAAACATCTGTCTCATTTCATCTTCTTTTTGTTGTAATTCTTGTAAATGAATAGATCTTTTTGCTTCACAAGTTTGTTGAAAACTTACAGGTTTGTTGTCACTATCAACATCACTAAATCCCATCTAAAAATAGGAAATCCCATATAAAATCCCATATAAAAATCATTTCATTATTTCACATTTCAATGTTATATATTTGAGACTTGAAAATATTATTTATTGATAGAAGTATATAAAAAATTATATAAAAATTCACCTGCTCTAATCTTCTCTTACGGTACAATTCATAATGACGACAATGGGTTTTTTCACGCATATCTTCCATATTTGTTCTAATGAGCATCTCACGTAACTTTACAAAGTCACAATGAGATTCATTCTCCACTGTTATATATGAAAATTTTTATTATTATTTATTTATATAATACCAAGCATCAATGATATATTTTATTGCATTAGTTTCTTTACCTTGAACTGTACCCCAAGGATATTGCCGTGAACGCATCATCTTGTTTCCAACTCGTACAAAATCAGTACTACCAACTACTGCGAAAGGTACATGTGCATTCATACTAGAATTTACATCAGCTACACTTTCATCATCTGTTGGAAATTGATATATATGAACTCCATTATTTTGCAATTCTGAGATTATTTTACTCTGTAAGAAAATTACATAAAATGAAATTACTAATTATTTTATATTAATCTTATAAATTATTTACCTTGAACTTTTGCAATTCAGTCTTTGATATTGTATCAGCTTTAGCAATAATTGGAATAATGTTAACTTTTGTATCCAACTTTTTCATACATACAAGATCAATTGATTTAAGTCTAAAAACATTGCTAGTTATAATTGATAATAGTTATATTGATATAAATCAGTAAATTTGCAAGTATAGTATAAATAAAATGGAGTAATATTGATAAAACAAAAAACTTCTCTTATTGGAGATAAGAACTTCAAAACTTATATCGTTTTCCTGAAAATATTTACCCATGACCTGTTGGACAAATGAAATAGAGACAAACATGGATACGACTATCATGATAAGTTGACAGAGAGCGTTTGATTTTCAATTCTTCTTGTAAATATGCTTCAAATTGTGCATCTATATAATCAACAACTGTTTTAAAGCTATCTTCCTTATTAATTTGATCCCCATATCCGACTGTATCAACAATGGTAAGTTTAAGTTTAACATTACTTTCTTGTAATTCGTAGGTATGTGCTTTCAACTTTACAGATGCTAGATTATGTGGACTTGGAGTAGATTCAAAGCTTGTATTGAATAATGAATCCATAAGAGTCGATTTACCTAAACCAGTTTCACCTGTAGAAATTTATTAATTTTATAATTTATTATATAATTGAATAGTATCAAATCACAAAAGTACATTTTTGTTTCCTTATAAATATAAAAATATATCATACCAATACAAAGGATATTAAATACAAATCCATTTTGAACTGATTTATTTACTAATTGATCTGGAAGACTATCAAAACCTACATGACCCGAGAGCTTTAAATTGCGTATAGAAGAGTCCAACTGAAAAAACCAATACATTATTAAGACAAAAAAAGTAAATAAAACTATACCTTCAAATAAATTGAAGCTATGATAGTATAATATTATTCTGACAATTAGAACTGAGATTATATCAAGTTGATAAAAGGAAAATACAATTATTAAAATAATTATCATATTTTTTGGAATAACAAAAAGCTTTTTAAGGATAACATTATTTCTTTGATTGAGAGAAAAAATACATTAAATTAACATTGTTATAATTGTAATACCTTCCCTCGTTCAATCTCTAAACTCGCCATTTTTACGCAAGATGGATCAAAAACAGTGCGATATGTTTCAAACTAGATTTGACGGATTGACGCCACGTGCTACTATTAGCAGCCTTTCTAAAAAAGTATCTTTAAATCCGCGCGTAATCATATATATTCAATAAGATAATAATTTCTAATGACCGAATATCGAAACACTATTACAAAAGGATCATAAAAGGAGTTATTGACAACAAAAAATGTTTTATATTTGGAATAACTTTTCTTCCTTCCGTCACTTGACTAGATATATCCTGTTGCAGACAATATAGGGTTTTCGTCTTCTATTGCACCGACTTGTTGGTCCGTACTTAAGAAGCGACGTGATTACAAAGCGTGAATATTTCACTGAATACAGTTCTAATTCGTTTTTATACTTTTATTTAACAAGATAATAACAACGGTATAACGAAAATGTAATGAATGAATAACGATAATGGAACATTGTATACGAGTACTGAAAAAACGACGAAAATTCGGAAAAGGACAATGGAAATCTATTGTCTTCTTGAAGCATTGGCTAGAGATGATGGCGTTACTGTCGTGTTACTCGCTCTGAGAACTTTCTAGTAATGTAGTTTCAGTTGTTCCCAGAAAAGATCAAACGTATGCGCATACGCAAAATTTGATCGGTGCGTCTCTAGTGATGTTTACCGGAACAAGGTTGTCTATCTACATGAAAATTATATTGGGTGTAAAATTTCAGAATGGCGACTGTCTTTACATAGAAGAGTGCTTATTCCCGCCCAGAAAGCGTTTAACTAACGAGTGCGTTTGAAGACTTTTATGCATTTTTCATTGCGATTTTACTAAAAATGATAATAGAGAATCCAGATCAATTCAAAGCGTGGCTTACTGCCGTTTTGGAGCCGCTGTAAGTAGGCCAGCTTGTCCAAGTACGTTTTGTGTGCTGCGTATATGTGTATGCGTACATCTATGCATGTATGTATGTATGCGCGCGCGGATGAGTATATCTATACGATGCATAAATGGCCGTACATGTGCCGTTTTTTACTTCGCAAAAAAAATATTATTTAAATTAATTTTATCATAATTTTTGAGTCCTCGACATATGTCCTTCTATGTTTAATCAAATAATTATATTATTCTTATTGCAATGAAAAATTTTCATTAAAGGGTTATTGAGACTTTTAACTCCTGTAGAAAGTAAACTATTTTATTTTTTTTTCTTTATCATTACTTTTATAAATATTATAATATTACAAAATGCATATGTGTATTTATAAATTAGTCTCAATCGTATAATAATACTAATAATGCTTTAGAGATACTTCATATATGTGCCTTTATGTGTGTCTCTATGCCGCGCGCGCATACACATGCGCGCGCGTGCGTACGTATGGATATATCTTTACATTATATATATATATTATATATATATATATATATATATAAGTATATATATATAGTATTCAGCAATGTATTATATTTTATATTTTTATAATATTAAAAAATAATTTAATAACAAAGTAATTCCAGTATATTACTGCTCTACAGGAAGTAAAATAAAATTTTACAAAGCATACGTATGTTATAAATATGAATGTGTATATTGTAATAAAATCATTTTTAAACTTATCTTTACATTTTGCATAATATTGTATATGCATATATACACATAAAATTTAATATATAGTAATATATATATATTGTTTACAGCTGTGATGCAGATCCTGCTGCATTAGCTAAATATGTATATGCCTTGGTTAAGAAAGATAAAACCTTAGAGGAGTTAAGAGGTTGTATGGTAGAACAGCTTGATGTATTTTTGCAACAAGGTATCTTCTTTATTTTTATAATTTACAAACCTTAGTAAATTTATGTTTATAAATACGGATAGTTAATTATTTATATATCTTATGTATGATGATAGAAACTAAAAATTTTGTGGAGCTATTATTTAAAACTTTGGAGACTCAAGAATATATACTTCCACCCACTAAGGGAGATCCAGATGGTGGTAGAACTCCACCAGGTGTAAATCCACCACCTCCAGTGATAACATCAGAAAAAACTGCAGATACAACAATTTCTTTAGCTCCTGTAATTACTAATCCTGTTGCACCACTTCAAGTAAATGGCTCGACGCCTACAGCTATTTGCAAGCGTGAAACAAGAAAATCTGATTCTGATAAGGGTGATAAAGAGAAAGAAAAACGTTCTCGTAGTCGGTAAGTGTTTTCTTTAAATATTATTTGTTTTTAATTTTGAAACATAATATAATTATCAATTTATAGCATATTTCAATGCATAATGTGACTTCTCTTATTAGTAGTGGAACTCTAATTCAGATAGTTGTTTATGTTATCTTCATAAAATTAATAAATATATGATTTTATGTACATGAAAAAAGGTTCTGCATTTTTATTAACATTATATTAATATACAGCATACATTTGTAAGTAACTAAATGTAATTAATGATATTATCATAGTATAATATAATGGTTCATAGTATATGATATGAATATTTAAAAACAATAACAAAATTGCAATTCTACTAGTCTATTCTACTATATTTTTTTTGTATCTAATTAAATTTATTGTAATAGACTTGAAGATTTAATATATGAATATTAATCTTTGCAAACTCTTTATTTGATTTAACTTGATTTTAACAACATCTATTGTTAAATAATTTTTGTAATCATGTTTAAAAATTAATAATTATTAATTTAATATCATTACTGCGAGTATTTGTGAATTTCATCTTTGATATTGTTGCTTCCTAATTATAGAGTTTATCTTCAATAAGTATCTTTCTTATAGGGAGTGCTCAGGAAGTTGATCTAAGCAGAAAGATTCGGTGGACATAAATTTAGGAACATTTTTCTTTCTTACAACTTCTGCCTGATCCAATTTGTTTTATTTGATGAAGTTTATAAGATAGAAAAAGATTATCTCCACAGCAAGCGGTGTGTACTAGAGGTTATAGCTGTATTATATGTATACTAGATAAAAAAGTAAGCATATAAGCTTGGATTCAAGAACATTTAGGAGCAGCCACTATGGAGATAATTTCTTTTTATTGTACAAGTCTCATATAAAATATAGTAGAACAAGGATAGATATTAAAAAGGAAGGTGTTTCTTAATGTATATCCATATAATTATTTTTTGCTTTTTGGAAAAATTTAATATATTACTTTTAAAAATATTTTAAATGTTACTTTTTTTTCTGCAAATGTGTTTATAGGAGTGGTCGTATGAGATCAAGGACAAGATCTCGATCGCGTTCTTGGGAAAGAGATAGACGCAGATCAAGAAGCAGAGAACACATTCGTCGCGACAGAGAACGTGATAGGAGTCGTCCATGGCGGAATGAATCTCCACCTATCACAGCTAGACGACACGACAGAAGGTTGCACGAACGATTCTTGTTAAAATGGTTTATTCTTATATGCATTCTATCAAATTGCTGTAATGTATTTCTATATAAAGACAATTTTAAGAATATTTTTGGCGAGGGTAGAATAATAAGGATCTCTTTTCTTATTGTTTATATAGACGCACTAGAAGTCGTAGTACATCTCCAATACGACCAAGGTTACGAGATGGTCCCGATAGTCGCGATCATAGAGCACGTTTCAGAAATAGATCTCCAACCCCGTTGAGATCCAGATCACGATCAAGATCCTTAGATCGTAAAAAAATAGAACGTTCAGAGAGGTTGGATGTAGATAGATCAGAACGAGTAGAAGGAAGTCCGGGTGGTGGTACTCCAACACAAGATAGTAATCACGGAGACGTAGACATGAGGTTATCTACTACAAGTCAATCGATCCAAAGTGTTGTTGCTGTTGCATCTAATATGCCAAGCAACCAAATTGGTCCTTTTCAAGCAAAGAGAAGATGTAGAGATTTTGATGGTACGTAATTCTTGATTATGATTGTTATAAAATTGAATTTTTCAAGAAATACATATTGTGTTATTTAAACATTTTTATTAAAATACATGAATAACGATAAAATATCTAAAAGTATCATTAATGATATATTTTAAGTAATTTTATCATTGATAACTGAAACGATACTAGAACGATAAAAACTTCCCGAATGTTATGAACTTTAACCCTTTCGATATGGCAGCGTCGTTCGCAAGTACACAGTCAGAACGCAAGTGTGCAGTTCAGTTCACTTGCAGTTCAGTGCGGATCAGTCGTGTTTTTTACTACTGATTGAAGATATATTTTAACTCTGACAAAGTGTAACATTTGATACTTTGTCGCGTCATGTAAATTATTGATTTTTAATTCAAATTGTATTGATCTAATATAATCAAAGTTGTGAATTAATGCTAAATTTCAAGAAATGGGTAAAGTCACTAGCAAATATGTGATGATGAATGATTATATTTATCGTTTCTTAACGAAAGGGTTAATGATCATAAAATATATGAAGTATATAATACCTGAAGAATAAATATATTTTTATAGAGAAAGGATATTGTATGAGAGGAGATCTTTGTCCTTATGATCATGGTACTGATCCTGTTGTATTGGAGGATGTTGCTCTAAGTCGTGTTCTGACTTTTGGACCACATAGTCATCAAGCTCCAGGTACAGTACCAGTAACAGCAGTACCTGATCCACCTCCAGGTCCAAATGGCAATGCACCGCCACCACACCTTCCACTTGCAAGTCTGCCACCACCGCACTTACGAAATCAACATCATTCTAATATGGGTAGGAAGTATATCTATATAATATTTTTTTTTACAATAGTTAAAGTTTCAATATTTTATCGAAGTGATTATATTAAAACAATATATTAATCCTTGAATAAGAGATCAATTGTCTTAAAATATTATCAAAGATCAATATTATTTCATATAATTTAATAGTGATTTAGATGGCAAAATCGTTTAGAAAATATCTAATAACTTAGTATTAATTAGGCGAGCATTAAAGTAGAAAGATATTATTGTTATTGAAACATTTGAACTATCAATATTTGATGAGATATAATGACAATAACAAGAATATGTTAGATGCATTTGCAGAATACAATCCAGATGCCCCTAGTATGGAACCAAGAATGCCATGGGGTAGACACCCACAGACTGGATCTGGACTCTATGGAAGAGGTCAAAGGGAATTGATTAGTGTACCAGTAATTCCTCACACAAATTCGACAGAAATAACACATAGTCAAGCAAATCCATTGAAACGGAAACAAGCATTTGATTTTAATCGTCTTGGACCAAAACAAAGAGCAGTGCACAATCCAGCTAACTGTTCTTTAGAATTGAAGAAAGTTCCCCGAAGTTTAAACAATATAACACAATTGAATAATCACTTTTCCAAATTTGGAAAAATTGTAAATATTCAAGTTAATTTTGGAGGTGATCCAGAAGCAGCTTTAGTTACTTTCCAGTTACCTACAGAAGCTAAGGCTGCATACAGAAGCACTGAAGCTGTATTGAATAATAGATTCATAAAAGTGTTTTGGCATAACATAAATAATAATTCAGTTAGTGGAGCTATAGAAAATGTACCACCAGGTAAATTGAACATTATATTTTTGTATGTTTTATGAAATTCATATTTAAAAAAATAGTTAATTTTTGTATATAACAATTTACAACTTAATAATAGCAATAATAATAATGATAATAATAATAATAATAATAATAATAATAAATCGAATCTAATATATTGTTACCATTAAATTCTTATTAACATATGACCATGTTTATCAAGGTTGCCGTCCTTCCGTAAAAGAAAGATTAGGTGCTGCTCTAAATTTGCCAGCAAAATCGGAAGAAAATGAGTATGTGCCCACACGTCGTTCGTCGGATGAACAAAATACACAGAATGTGATTCCAACATCACCAAAAGCGGCAGCAGTTCCTACACGAGAAGAAAAAGTTTTAGCAATAAAAAAAACGCAGGAGATACTAGCGGCTAAAGAAACATTAAAGAAAAAGCAAGAAGAAAAACGTAAAGAAGCTATAAAATTAACTGCTGATTTAAGGAAAAGAAAGCAAGAACTTCTAGACAAACATCTTGTAGAAATTAGAGTTTTAATAGATAAAGCGGAGAAAAATCCAGAGCAGAAGGATGCAATTATGGCAACAATTAAAACTATGCAACAATCCATTGATAATTTACGTAAAGATTTAGCTGCAAATGGACAAATTTGTGGAAATAAATCGCAGATCAAGTCCAAAGAACAAACTCAAAAGGAGATTTTAGATGCTGAGCTAGATTTAATGACTGCTCAGCAGGAAGGTCAAGATGCAGGAGAATTGCAAAAGAGATTAAATGAATTACGAGCTCAAGCTGCTGCATTAGGTTTACATGCGAGTCCAGGTGTAGGTAGAGGTGCGAGGTCTAGTAGAATTATACGTGGAACTCATGCAGTTTCATATAGGGGTCGTGGAAGAGGAAGTTATGCTCACGTTTCAGTAGATCATAGACCAACGAGTCTTCTAGTCTCAGGTTACGAAACGGAGGAAAAATCAGATGTTCTAGCACATTTTCAAGTAAGTTGATTAATATAGTTATTAGTAAAGTAAATGTTTACTCGTGATAGAATTTACTATTTGAGATTCAATATATTAAATAAAGAAAGAAAATTTTTTTGTTTATGAAATATTAAGGATTATTTCTTTTTTCTTTAGCAATTTGGAGAAATAGTGAACCAAATTATAGATGATACAACACCATCTATTGTAATCAATTATAAATCCAGAAAAGAAGCCGAAGTTGCAATGTTAAAAGGCCGTACCTTTCAAGATAGATTATTATCTATAACCTGGGTATCCGGGCATCACTTACATCGCGGTGGAAGCGGAAATAATCTGAATTCATCCGTACAACTTTCTGTACATTCTGAACAAGCACCGCCTACAGCTGAAGAAGAAATCGATTTAGAAGTATGTTCAGTTTTTCTTTTTTCTTTTTTTTTTTTTTTTTAAACCAATATTGTAAATTGCAATGATAGATACTAATGTAAATGTTCGTATTTACAGGGAACAGCAGAAGCATTACTTCTTGAAGAAAATGAAGAGGAAGAGGAGGAAGATGGGGAACCACGCAGTTGGCGACGATAGCAGCATCAGCGTTATTTATGACAAAAGTGCGTTATTGGCTACAGTGGTAGTAGCATTTTTTGGGCATATCGATGTTTGCTCAGTTCTTTCATGACTGCTACATCGCTGCTTAATGTTTCAAATACAATGATTTTGTCAAAAAAGTCACGTTATGGGCTCATTGGCGTTATAATGAGCATTACAATACTTGTTAATACTATTAAATATGCGTGTGCATTATAACGGTATGTCTATACTGTGTCCAATAATGCGCATCACGAAAATAGGCCAGTATACAAGTTTCCACAACACGACTAACCAAATTTATCTCATTATTTCTAGAATAAAATCGCTATGTTTTGTATGGGAAACTCTTATTCTAACTTAAGTCCTCATCTTTCATCTGTAGAATTGCGATTATTTCTCGTTATGATATTATAAGGTTTTATGATGTAGTACATAAATCTAGAGTAAATAGGCATATGTAGTTCTAAACATTTTTCTGTCGAAAGCGAGAAAACTATATTTATAATTTGTATAATATACATAGCTTATTCTAGATCTTCTTCATAAGAGATAGCGTATAACGCTTAAAGTAGTGTAAATGATTTTTTACTTTCACTTAAATGTACTATTTAAAAATTGTTCCTGTAATCATGTACAGTATCATGTATAATTTTCATTGTTTTGTTTTACCTAATGTCAGTGAATTAAGTTGGTAACGCCAAAAGATATTTAGTGCATAATTTACATAGATTGTTTCAATATATATTGCAAAAATAATATATCATTGTTACACATAAACCATTCAGTTTTATAAGAAGGTAAGTATTTTATTTATAAATATACCATTTGAACATGCACATGCACTAAAAATTTATGATGAAATCAAAATGTGTTCTGATACTAGTAGAGTCAGAAATAAATTATTTGATACATTTTAAAACTAATCTTGCGTGCGTTTTTTCCCATTCGATAGAAGTAGTAGTAAAATACGTTGCATGTTCATTGTCACAATAAATAATCATAAAAAAGATTTAATATTAGAAATCATCTTTTGAGAAGAGAAGAGAAGATTACTTGTTGATTAAAAAATTTTAAAGATTTAATTTAATTTAATGTATCTATATATGTATAAATATTCCTTTCTACTTTAGTTATTTTAATTCCTCCAGTATTCTATCTTGTAAAAAAGCTAAGATTGCGTATATTTTTGTATATGAAAGTGTTACGTACTTGCAAAAATTATATACATATGTCATACGGCGATTAAATGACCGATAAACAAACATTGGCTAATATTTGCTCTATGCTGCGCAATGGGTATGTGCGCATACACTACGAAGTACATATACTCTATATACAAGTTCTACGTCCTACGTTTATATTCGATTTCTACTAACTTAGAATTCTTCCCTTTATACGAATAGGTAAAAAAAAGCGCGACGCAGCACGAATTACGTTTAAATTATCAAAATACGTTTAAAAATGACGGAACAAAGTGATAGAAGTCAATTGCCACCTGGTTGGGAGTGTAGATACGATTCTCGTAGTGGACGTCCGTATGTAAATTATAATTAGAAATAATATAACGTAATTTTATGAACATTTGTATCTGTAAAAATTTTATTTGTACGGTACAAATAATTCCTCTTACTTCTTTTATTCTTTCGTTTATTCATGTTCTATTCAACTTTAATTGTATTGTTGGTTATAAATTTTTGTTGAATAATATTTTAAAAATTTATTTTATTAAAAATAATTATAATAGATAATATACATATATTATATATAGATAATATATGTATATTATCTATTTATAAATTTACCAAAGTACATAGATTATTAGATATCAATGAATACCTTCTTTCAGATATTTTATAGACCATTTTAACCGAACAACAACATGGGAAGATCCAAGGATACGATATTGGCAATACTCTCAGTATGTACAGACACAAAATTCCATAGCATTGAGCTCTGCCACAACCATTACTTCTCAAGATATACCTATGCAGGTCAGATAAAATATTTTATTACATTTTGAATTCAAATCTAAAGATCAATAATTGGCTTAAACTAACTAATCCATTGCAGTTTGCTCATTATAGAAGTTTTTATTTATCTGTGAATTAATTAGAGTAAAAATCCAAATATATCAAATATTTCTCTAAGTTATTTGAAGTTAAAATGTAGGATAGATAATTGTATTTTAAAAAGTATTTTGTAAAAAGTATTTTATACTTTTTAAAAAAATAGCAGTTTAAAATTTTACAAAAATTTCTTTTTATTATCCACATATACTATTTATATTCTTTTTTATTTTATATATAAAATTTATGAAGTTATTTAAAAAAACCTATTTATCTTATATAAAATTAATATAATCTAATGAAATAATATAAGGGTTTCTTCTGCATCATATAAAGTACGAATATTTTTATATGTATATTTTAATATGCTGCATTTGGATTAAATATAAAATGTATTGTACATATTCAAGACTGGAGGAATTGGTGGTGGTGGGCATTTAGTTTATACAGGAGCTCATAAAGCTCCTCAAATTTATCCAACACCATCGCCTTTTCATAATCCTCAACTTGCATTTTTGCCACCCAGTTTACAGGTAGGTAATGCTAATTAAATCAATGCAGATGTATTTATTTAAAATTAAACTAAATTATATCTTACAATATTTAATTCTGATAATTTTATAATTGATTGATATGTATGTATTTTATATAGGATTTAAAAACTCCAATGTCTATGAAATCAATGAGTGCCATGATAAATCGATTTGGTGAAATTACTTTGGGATCACCAACACCAGTGAGAAATATGGAAACTACTTTAACACAAGATTCTGATTCTGAATTGCAAGTTGCAAAAATCAATGCAATGTTTCCTACAGTCTCTGATACTCACATACGACTGCTGTTAAAAAAGTAAGTGTTTTATGAATTTGAAAAGCTAATTCTCATTAACAATATTTAATTCTTTTGTGTATCATTTAAACTAACAAATATTTACTATTTTATTACATTTATATTTATTTTTCTCATCACACTTATATTTATTTTTATGATGCTATAATTAATTATCATTTTGTACATGTTTTCTTTTTCTTCACTTTTTTCACATAGCATTGTATTAAATTTAGCGCTAAGTTCCTAGCCGATGCTTTCAGATACCATAACAGAGCAGCTTTGGTTGTAAGCGCTCTCCAAGTGGAAAAGAATCCTCTTTGCGCTCCAGGACCGTGTACACCTATGGGAGTACACTCAAAATATGCAATACCAAGATGGAGGCTACCAGCTCATGCTATACATGCAGCTTTAACATTGAGTCCACCTCGTGGGGTTCGGCCAGCCCCTAACTCCCCAAAAATGAAACTTAGGTTTATCCCATACTTATAGTTTCAATCTCACCTACTCTGGATGCTAGATGTTGATATCGTATCTTGTTATGATTAATAAGAAGTATACCAGATCTGGAACAAAGTAATACTCTTTTTTTGCTTCTTTGTAAATTTCTGGTATATTTCATTTGTGTACACAATTTGATCATTGCGATGTAGCAATAGCATGTACCAATTATTTCTCTGCTACAAAATACTACTACGTTTCGAACTTCCGCAATTATCGAAAAATTGCATCTGTTGAATCTGGTAAATTTTTTAATTTATATAAATTTTACAAGTATTTTTTGTCACGCACGGTAGAAAAATTGTTATTTAGTAGCATTTAAAAGATAACGAAATTTAAAGATAATTATGTCTCCCTTTGTATCTGTGGTCTTTATAGAATGACAATGTATCCTATCTGATTTACTTATTTTAGTTAAGATTTCATTATTTGGAATTTTTTTTACTTTTCAGTTTCTTCCTGGTTTACCATAGACGTTGGGTAGTATAAACATTACACAAATCATAGATAGGTTAGTTTCTGTTATCATCTATATACATTTTGTTTAACATTTAGTGGCACAAAGTAATGTTTAAAATGTTGTGTAAATGTCAGTTATTGTAAACATTTGTGTAAGAACAAATGATCCAGATTACATCAATAACTCTCAATTTAAGCCTATCAATAACTCAACTGTGTATGTAATTTAAAAAATTTCATTTGTTCTAATGCAGCGTAATTATATATGCATGTATATTATGCCTTAAAACCATCTCATAGCTTAAACAGCTTGAACTACTATTACTTAATAAAATAATTAGTTGATTACATTTGCAGATTTAAATATTTAAAAAAGAGATTTTTATTAAATATTACTGCTTGATGCAAAAATATGTAATCATTTATATTTGTCAACCAAATATGCATATTATATAACATATTTTTAATACACTTTATCTTTATTTTATTTTTGAAGATAGCACGTATAAGTTTTATATTTAAAAAGAGAGAAAAATCAATAAGACCTTTTAGAGGTAGATTTTATCTATTTATGTATTGATATAATATGTTGAAGTATAAGTTGAACACATTTTTATGTTTTAGATCATATCTATATACGAACTATTATCAACATTCAAAATTTCTCTTAACTTACATATTTAAAATTTGTGTATAGGTACCTGAAAAATGTATTTCCTAAAGTTGATGAAACAATGTTACTTGACATATTGGAACAAAGTGAAAATAATGTTCAAAAAGCCTCTGAAAAATTAATTGATCTAGGCTATGAGAAACGAAATCTTACTGCTCCTAATAAATCCTTAAATAAAAAGAAAGATAAAGATCAAGTAAGTAATCAGTTTTATTAGGTAATGAAATATTTAGTGTAAATCTCTAACACATTTCTTTTTAATTATAGAATCAGAATGAACGAATTGCTCCAACTCCACCTCCTCGTATGAAAAGTTTGGAGGAGAAAAACAAAAGTATATTATTACAAAAATATATATATATATATATATATATATATATATTCTTCTATTAATTTATAATAAATAATCTATAAAATAATTTCAGTGAAAGCACGCTTGACGGAAAAATATAAATCTGTACCAGAAAGAGTAATAGTGCTTGCTATGGACAGCGTAGATTATGATGAAGAAAGAGCAATACACATATTAGATATTATGGTCGCAGAAGAAGCTACAAGGCCACTTTGTACTTCCAGTAGTCAAAGGTAAATCATACTCATCGTGCTCATTAATTCTTTTATTATGGATAAAAGAATTAATGTGTATAGATAAATAAATAAATAAATAAATATATATATATATATTTATATTTTAATTGTCTTAATAGCAGTCGAAGTGATGAGCGAAAGGAAAGTCCACCTGTAACAGAAGCTATAAAACTAACAGCATCACCAATTAAAAAAGTAGTTAAGGAAATTGATTCTGAGAAATCCAAGAGATCTAAAAATAAAATAGAAATACCAAAGTACGATATTTGTGTATCATATTTCTATAACAATTAAATTAAAGATTTCCAGACATTGTTATTTATGTTACTAAATATCTTAAATTAAATAATTATACAATAACTTATAAAATATTGATATTTTAGAGTTTCCCGTGGAACTAGTACCACTGAAGACAATGAATATAAATCTCCATATTTGTTAAAACCCATTGGTCCAAATCCTGAACTGTCAAAAGGAGCTAACAACGATTTATTATTGTAAGACGCAATAAAAATTAATGTTATAATATTAATAAATAGATAATATATATAATGTTATATTTTGTCAATTAAGAATTATGTTAAATCATTTTAGGCCAGACTATGCACCATGGTCAGGACCAGATCCCAATTTATTATCAAAAGAACAATTTCCAAAGTCAGCAGCAATGGGACATGATGCAGCATTAGTATCAGGAAGTTATCTTGCTAAAGGTCCTAATGCCGAGTTACGAAAAGGTCCGTTAAGAGGATTAGCAGAAGGTTCCATATATTCTCAGAGGAGTTTAGCTAATACAGAAAGTCGTGGTAAATGAAATATATGTGATTGTTTCTTTCTAAGTTTTTTTGCACTTGCAAATTAACTTGAAATAATTTATTTTCCAAAAATTACTATAAATAGTTTTCTTATGCTATTTTTTTCCAATTTATAATTAATCTGCAAATTTTAAACTTTCATATTTCTGTTTTTATCATTTTTTAACAAATAATTACACCTATATTTATTTCTCATCAAATATATACAGCTATCTCTCTCCATCTATTAAGATGATATCATATAGCATACTAATGTTCACTAAATTAATAATGATAAGCATACTTATAAAAATTCGAATGTGTCCAATATAACTGATTGATTAATATTAGATATCTTCTCAAATATTTTTGTAAAGTGTAAATCTTTTTTTTGTTAGCTCATTTACTTCATATATTATTCTCTTATTATTTAAACTAAACATATGAAAATACATGTTTATTGATATAAGTAATATGTTTTATTGTTATTAATCATATATTTTTATTCTATTGGAAAAATATATTTTAGTATTGTTTCTGTTGTATAAAAAGTTAAAACATATTTGTTTTTCATATGATAAAAAGACTAATAACATTAACAGTATTTCTATAACTAGATTACAGATATGCGAAAGTATAAAACAATGATAGTCATAACATCTGCTCACATTCAATACATTCATATTATGAATGTGGAGTAGAAAGATTTGAGAATATATTATCCTGATACACATTAGTGATTCAAGAATATCACATCACTTCTACATTAACATATCCTAACAAATCTAGTGATATAAAAAAATATATATATATATTCAGAAAATTTTGTTTTACATTATATCTTTATTGTTAAACAATGATTTACAAAATTATTTATAATGTAATCACGAAATATTTATTTATAAATGTGAAATAATTTATCATAATTGTAATTATGTAAAGATAGTATTGTCTATCATTCTTGTTTCTTTAAATGTTTCTGATATACTATACTAAATGTATAAATGGTTCAAATTACGTAAAAATATAACTAGCTTTGGATTCTTTTAAATTGATATCAATAAGTATAGAAACTAATTAGATTAAGATATTTAATAAATACAGAAAGCCAAAATATTCAGTATTAATTATTTAAATTAAATATAAAAGTACATTTAAATTGAATAGTTTAATGAATATTCATATGGATATTAATCTTTTATGATATAAACATTCCATGATATATAAAATAATAAATATAATTCCGCATATCTGCAGTATAAATTCCAATTTATTAATATATAATATAAATCATAATTGAGATATGATTTATAACAAGAAGTTAAAAAAAAGAAAAGAATGTCAAGTATAAAACTAATAAAACAAGTGCTGTAATTAAGTTAATAAACAGAGGTATTTTCATAGCTTCATTCAATAATCCTGCCTTTAAAAAGATCTAGTATGCGAGTTACTGATTATGAACAGATGGGCTGTGGTTGATACATCAGTTGAGAGCTATTTTTATAGCTTTTTAACTTTTGAAAAATTATGATGGATAAATAATATATTTTCATTATATTTTAAGTAATACTAAATGCAAAAATGAATGCAAATAGAACAAATGGGCTTTCCAGTTTTGCTAGAAAAAAATCATATATTTTAATGTTAAGCACATCTATACTTTTTGAGATATTATATTATACAAATAAGATATTGGTGAATGTATATCGATGTGTATCACAGATAGCAGATAATGTGAATATATACTATTATAATTAACAGAAAATATTCTGTTTGGTAGAAAGAAGTTCATTTGAATATTTGGAAAAGAATACTTTATTGCATGAATTTATTACCTGCTATAAAAAAAGTTGTTTAGATTAGATTTTAGTAAATTTAGTATTTTAAACTAAGTATCTCTCTCTCTCTCTCTCTCTCTCTCTCTCTCTCTCTCTCTCTCTCTCTCTCTCTCTCTTATAATCTTTACATTATTTATTGAAAACATATTTTATGCATTTACAAGATAAATTTTAATCAATAATGATATTGTTTTCTTCAATAATTATTATCTGAATAAGTAATTAAATTACTTATGTATTTTTCCGTTTATAAGTATGGTATTTCTAACAGACTACAGATCTTATCAAATATTTGAAAGTAGTAAAATGAATTTATGTATTTTCATCAAAATCTCTAATTTGGATGTATTCTTCATAATTCATAAAGTTTAATATGATCTTACTTTTATAAAGAGAGAAAAATGAATGTGCCTATATCACATTCCTAGTAGATTATTCAAACATTTAAATAATTAATATTTATAAATAAAAAATAGTAAGCTTTTAACTAGCAATAATGGTATATGTATTAAATATTGCAAGTGATAAAACAAAATTGTATTTCGTGTATCTATACATATCTGTGCAATAAAACAATTGAACTTATTTATTATCTCTAATAAATTTAATAAAAACTGTAATAGTTCCAGATGTATATGTTCTATTAAAATGTATCTTCTTATATCATAATTTTAATACAATATAAAAAATATTACCTATATTTATAATTATAATTATAAAAAATAGAAAAAATTAAATCACAAAAATCTGAAACACAATGCTCTATATAGAACTCTTAATCATAACATTTGAATACATAAAGATTATATTCTATTTGCAAATATCAGTATTTATGGTAATATACAAGAATTTTATACATGTCTTGATGTATGATTTTATGACTTATAAATTGTCTTATAAAATTTAAACTTCGTCTTCATTCAAAAGCATGTTTGGTATCCCATCATTAATGGGAAATTTTCTGCCAGATTCTGGACATAACAAGTCTCCATTTATAACTTCTACTTCTAATAGCACATGATGTACTTTTTTTAAGAAGTCTTCATTTTTCTCATAATCTTCTATTAAGTTTTGAGGAAGTTCACCAACATGTCCAATCTATAAAAAATCTTTTAACTAAAAATATGAACATTGTATATAAAAGTGCACATATCAAATTAAATATTTTTTAAACTTACACTCTCTGCAGCTTTCCACAAAGTTATCCAGTCCAATTTTGGTATGATCCTTGCTATAAATTCTGAGTTGAAGTCTACTTCTGATACTTTGATATCTTTTGCCTGTAAAATTATTGAGAATGTTTTATTATAATATTTCAAATAATCTTTAATAATAGATGAAAATTAATTTTTTTTATTTATTAAATTAATTAATTTTTTGAGATTTATAAGCATGAAATGTTAACCTTATTTAAGATTGTCTCTAATCTTATAAGTTTCTTTATGAAATAAACTTACGATGATCCCTAAAGGATAACCTACAGTAACACCTTTTAAGCATTTGGAAGTTAACATATTATGTGTTAACAGTTTCATTTTTCTTTTAAATTAAAAATCACTGTAGTTACAATATACAAATATTCGTTCAGCATTAACAATACTATGCGCGCGCAAGAGTTCCGGCGCAGAATATTGAAAACGTAAGCATCGTATGTCATATATATATTTTCATGTTTCTTTTAATTTACTCTCTGTACATTTTATATTTTATACATAATATCCTGAATAAGTAATCAGAAGTGCACTTCTTTATAAATTTTTATTTTAATTTTTATAGAATCGTATACGATAATAAATAAATATAAATAAAACAATCAATGAAAATTGAAAAAAGGTAACATTAAATCTTTATTAAGTGTGAAAATTCAAAAGTACATTAAAGACCGCCATGAATTTTTATCCGAATCACATGATCGCTTCTATTGTAGGAGTTAACTCTCGTTATGAGAGGTTAGTTCATCAAGAAAAACGTTAATTTTAATAAGCATAATGCAAATAAAAGAAGATCGATGTGCGAAATATCTTGTTTTTTTTATATTAAATAAGGTTGCTGTCGTAATGACAGAATAATAGACTATTTAATGAACCCTTCAAAACATAAATACATAACATGTCGAAACATATGTCGAACAGTGCTGCAAAGTGGAAGACTTTGAACAAACTAACGGAGGCCACATCATCTGGCCTTGATAAAAATGCGTGATCAGCTGTCATTAGCACTTTTTTATCTTTGCTATTATTCTGCTTGTAATATAGATTCCTTAATCAAATTTTGATGAATTTTTCCTAAATCAAATTTTTCGGGATATAACCAAAAAACGTTTATGATCTACGTGTGCAGAAATTGATCATCAGTGCTTCCTCTCCTTTTTCTTTACTTGTTTTATACATTGATAGAAATATGTTACACTATCTTCCATTAGTGACATCTTTAAATTTACCGAACAATGGCTCGTGTGTATAAAAATTATACAACGAAGAAGCATTAAAAAAATCCTGAGCAAAGATTTGTATAGTAATATTTTATTGAAATTGTGTTAAATAATATTAAAATTTTGTTGGATGAAGTGGATCAATTAAAATATTTTTGAAAAATGTTATGCTTAACCATAGATATGACATCTTGACAAACAAAAAGGAACATATTTTTTTATGAAGAATGGCTCGTGATTCTCTCTTATTTGGATTGCTGATGTTCGGATGTAGCATACGTGCATTAATGGCTACATCCGATGATGATCAACTGGATTATATGAGTAAAGAAGAACGTGAAGCATTAAAGTATGTATAATAAACCTTCAATTATTATTTATCATTTTTAATAACTTTGTATTATTTTTAGGGACGAAGCAAGGGATATGTTTTATCATGCTTACAATGCTTATATGGTAAATGATACTATACTTAATTATAATCTTTTAATAATTGGATGGTACTGAATCATTTTTTGGAAAAATTATAGGAAAATGCCTATCCCGCAGATGAGTTAATGCCATTAAGCTGTAAGGGACGATATAGAGGATCAGAGCCAAATAGGGGTGATATTGATTCTACATTAGGAAAGTAAGAATATATTAAAATCTATTATATTTCATATTTTTTTAAAAGAATTATCTATAGTATAAAAAGTGACACAATAGGTTTTTTTTTTAAATAAATTTGTTTATTTATTAATTTTTTTTATATATGCTTACAGTTTTTCTCTTACGTTAGTGGATACCTTAGATACACTCGTGGTAAGAATATTATTAATATAAGGATAGTATAAAATTGATATTGAATGTGCTCACAGTTAAGGTATTAATGTTGTAGGTGTTAGGTGATTTGGAAGAATTTGAAAATGCAGTAAAGCTTGTTGCTAGAGATGTTAGCTTTGATACAGACGTAATAGTGTCTCTATTTGAGACTAACATCAGAATGCTTGGGTAATTAAGCTGAATCAGGTTTATTTTATCTATCCGCATATAGTTAGTATTATTTTAATAACAATGTTTTAATGTATACTTAACAGAGGTCTTTTAAGTGGTCACATATTAGCTGAATATTTGCAACAAAGAGCTGACATAATGCCATGGTATAGAGGCCAATTATTAGATCTAGCTAAAGATTTAGGATACAGATTTTTACCTGCATTCAATACATCTACTGGAATACCTTATGGCAGAGTAATGTATCTTTTTACTTGATTACTTAATATTGCTTTATAAAAGTTATTTCTATACGTGAGTGTATAATAATATATAATCTTGTTTATTTAGATTAATCTAAAATATGGCATGAAGGGAGTTCCCACAGAAGTATCAAGAGAGACATGTACTGCTTGTGCAGGTAGCATGATATTAGAAATGGCTGCCTTGTCAAGATTAACCGGAGAATCAATTTTTGAAGTATAGTTTCTCTGACATTATCAAAATATTCAAAACTCAAGATAATTAATTCCTTACATATATTTTATATAGGAAAAAGCACAAAAAGCAATGGATGTATTATGGAGAATGCGTCATAGAGGAACTGATTTAATGGGTTCGGTATTGAATGTAAATTCGGGTGACTGGGTACGTAGAGATTCTGGTGTAGGAGCAGGTATAGACTCCTACTATGAGTACTGCCTAAAGGCTTATATTTTATTAGGTATAAATTTTATATTCTTTTACCAATATTTTTATTGATATCAGCCATAGTAAGAATTTACTATTATATAGGAGATGAAAAATACTTGGGACGTTTTAATAAACACTATCAAGCTATCATGAAATATGTGAGTCAAGGTCCAATGTTGTTAGATGTACATATGCATAGACCAAATACGAATTCAAAAAATTTCATGGATGCTTTGCTAGCTTTTTGGCCTGGTTTACAAGTATGTATAAAATCTTTATCAATTTTATATCACAATCTATTTCACATTTCTTTTTGCAGGTGTTGAAAGGAGACATTAAGCCTGCAGTAGAAACACACGAGATGCTTTATCAAGTCATGCAAAGACATAATTTTATACCAGAAGCTTTTACTACTGATTTTCAGGTACATAATATGATAATAAATATATTTGTTCTATGACATATGTTTGTATAATTATTATATTTATAACATTGTAATGGGATTTATTTTCCACCAAATTTAATTAGGTACATTGGGGACATCATCCATTGAGACCAGAATTTTTAGAATCAACATATTTCCTATACCGTGCAACAGGCGATCATTACTATTTAGGAGTTGGGCGTAAAGTACTCAAGAGTCTTCAAACATACGCTAGAGTATCGTGTGGTTATGCTGCTGTATCGGATGTTAGGACTAATAAACATGCCGATACTATGGACAGTTTCGTATTATCAGAGACGCTTAAATACCTATATCTGTTATTTGTGGAACCAGCTGATTTAGTCTTAGATTTGGATGAATTTATTTTTACAACTGAAGGTCATTTACTACCACTGACGTTAGCTTCAATAAGAACAAATGTTTCTTCCGTAAGTCTTCAACAAAAGTCATAAATGTGATCAGTAAATATTTTTCATTAATTCAATATAGACTGCTTACATTTTAAAAATATCTTTAGGAATTTGAAAGAGATTCTGTTCAAGTAGATGAATTTGATCGGACATGTCCCAACAGTTTACATTTATTCCCAGCATCAGTTAGACAACCATTAAGAAATATGGTGGAAGATGTTTGTCCAAGACGTCCTATAAAAAGAAGATTAAGTGCATCCCAATTTCAAGTAAATTTATCCAGTTTTTATATTGTATTATTATTTCAAAATAAATAAATATGGATTTTCATTTCAGGCTAATAATATAGAGCATTTGAAAATGTTGAGTGAAATGGGTATAACAACTTTAACATTAGCAGATGGAAGAGTGCAACTATTGCATACATTTTCTAATGTAATTTCTTTTTTATATAAGTTAAAATGATATTCATTTCATAATAAAAATATTACTTTTTCAAGGCAAAAACTCCACAAGATTCTGAAGAAGGATTATTATTTATGCAAGAAATGGTTGAACTTAGTATAACTCAGTCGCAACAAACAGAAACTAAGCCACAAGCAGTTACGTTTATAAAACCTAAAACGTATCCACCACAAAAAGTTACACTTTTAGCTGGACCAGCACATTTTGGTCCTGAATTACATAGTTTTAATAAAGTTACTGGGAAAGTTGTGTTCACATATCCTCTTGCAGCTTGTACAGATCTTCTTAATACAGACAAATTGATAAATAAAATAGTGATCATGAATCGTGGCGATTGCATGTTCATGGAAAAGGTAAGATTTCTATAACTACGTGAGTAATAAAATAACATCTATATATATTGTTATATATATTGTTAAACAAATTAATACAGGCTCGAAGAATTCAAAAAGCCGGTGCTATAGCAGGAATAGTATTAGACAATGTAGCTGGTACTAGTGCAGCAACGTCTCCAATATTTGCTATGTCTGGTGATGAGAAAGAAATAGATGATGTGACAATACCTGTTGTGTTTCTCTTTAGTGTGGAAGCTGCTGAATTGATTAAAGCTATTAGTGCAGGTGGAGGTGAACTTACTATTACCATTGGTAAAAAAGTTTATTTAAAAAAATATAAATATTAAAAAATTTATATATATATAATAATAAATATTTATTTAAATCGATAGGAAATTTTTTTTCAAAGGATGAAGTTCAGCTAAAAGCACCTACTGACTTATCAATGTTTGAGCAATTGAAAGGTTCTTTAAAATCTTTATTCACTCAGCAAATCACATCACAGGTTTGTCTTAATATCTTACAATCATTGGCGGATTTAGCCTTCAAGGAACCCGAGGTATTGCAAATTTTAGGAACCTGATTAGAATAAATCAATTATACAAAATATAAATTTTTCCGGTTCAATTGTTAATATAAATGATGAAGTGAGAAATACATTATTCACATTCGATTATAGTAGCAAATATAGAAATAAAAATTATATACCGATCACCAGATATTAAATTAAATTTATTATATAATATAAATTTATTTATATGCTAGTGTAGGGGCTTCTATCTTACGGAGGCACGTCTGACGGACGATTGTCTCCACTTCTCCTTTATGTGCATAAATCTGCCATTACATACAATGATTTCTCTGCATTATATTTATTTTATATTATGTAAATAAACTAAAAAGGAATTTCATTTTTATCTTAACAGAGTCTTGTAAACAATGATTTACAAGAAGATATAATTTCTAATACTGAGAATGAGCAACAGGACACTATTGAGTTTCGTCATTTATCTGCACAAATTATTAAAGATTCACTTGGAGGAGAGATAAGGGTTACAGCTAAATCAAATGTACCACTTATTCATATGACAAAAAATTCAGAAGCAACAACTTCGCTGGAGAAACAATGGCAACAATTGAAAGAAGTATTTGTAAACCAAATGTATATTGGATCTGGCCAAAAAACTGGATTATATATTAGGACTTTCCTATTGACAAGTTATTACAACTGGATAATGACAGAGCAAGGTGTGGATACAAATATATTCAGTGCAGCAAGTTTGAAACAAAAAGTTTTATGGTTCTTAAAAGAATTAAGTGAAGTTGCACCAAATCCATCGAGTGCTTTATCCATTGGTCAACTTATGGATTCTAATAAACAAAAAATATTAAAACAACATTTACTTACAAAAATGGATCTTACTGTCTTATATTTGAAAGAGATTTCAACAAAACTCAAAGAAATAAGGTCCACAATGCCAGGTTTAACGCCATTTATAAAGATTTCAAGATTTGATATACGACAAATTAATGAATACATTGTTTTACGGCATTTATTACGAGAAATATTTGATGGAGATGATAAAATTATTAAACAACATTTAGATCTTCTAGATCATATTGGTAAAATTGTGAAAAATATATACCAAGAAATATTAATGGATGATTGGCAAAAAAATTTAGAAAAATTTGGTGGTAATAAAGATCCTGAATTTTTTAAACTGCAACGTGCATATGTTGCATTAATACAAGAGGTAGATTTCACAAATGATAATAATGAAAGTAATCCTGAAATTAATACAAAGGATCTATTTAAATTGTTGGATGAAAATAAAGATTATGATAAAAAATATGAAAACTTTGAAAATTTTATATGGACAGAGATAGAGAAAGTTAACAAAAATACTGAACAAAACACTTTACAAAAGTATGAAGATGAATCTAATATTTCTAATTATATAGAAGTTAAAAATAATGAAAATAAAATTATTACTACTGAATCAGATAAATTGTCAATACAATCTGATGTTTTAAAACAAAACAAAAATGAGAGTGTGAAAAATAAAATTGAAAATATAGAAGAAAAAGAATTAGTATCTTTAGACATAACACAACAGAAAAATGTAGATGCTATAGATAAGACAATTAAAAATAAAGAAAGTTCGACAGAAACTTCATATAAGAAATCTTCATTTAATGATGGTAATCTTTTATTTCCTATTTCTAAAGGTACAATGAAATCTTATGTCACAGAATCTGTATCACAAGATGAAATTCAAAAAATATTACAAGAAATTCAAGAAGGAATTGATGATAAAATTAAAAATAATAATAAGAATAAATTAACTAACAAACAAAACACCAAAAAAAATAGTAATAATAATGTCATATCTACAGATCTATTAGAAGAATTTAAAAAACCAATATGGGCATCCAATGAAGAAAAATCGAAATTTTTTACAGAATTTCATCAAAAGGCAAGATTATCTAATACAAAATATAACCTAAAAGAAGAAAGTGATTTAAAATATAAGGAAGACTATACTATCAATTTTAAAAGTAGGAAAAATGATGACAAGAAATATAAAATAAAACATATCGATGATGAATTATAATAATGATTTTCCATATTTAGGCAATTATAATTATTGTAACAAAGAAAATCATCTTCTACTTACACAAAGCTTATTGATAATGCACCTAATATTTTTGCAAACAATTTAGGTGCAATGAGTTTCGAAGTTTTTATATTTACCAAATGTATTATATAATGATAAACTATAATTATATAATAAAAGAACTCAGTGAACAAATTACAATTCAGTGATATTCTGGATCTATAAAAACTCTCAAATTATAAAAAACTGGTGCTTAGAATGAATATGTAATGTATTATGAAATGAGAGTATGGGGAAGGGAAAAAATATATTGTTAAGATGCATGTCTATACGCGTTTTATTAGAGAATATAGCGTATATACATAGGAAATTAGACTAATGTGATTTTGGGAAGGATATGAAGTAAAGGCTCTAACAGATGTACATTTTATATATTATATAATTAGAGTATAGTTTTCGTGCACTTTATAGTATATGAATATTGTATTTTCTATTACTCCAGAGAATATTAATGTTTGTTATTGCCCTAACATTAGTACTTTCTACTTTAAATAGGTGCCATGTTTTCCAATACTAATTACAATATGGAAATAAGAAAATATTTCGTAAATTGACAATCTAATGAATATTATAACACATTTTTTTCCATTTATTATATTTTCGATAAAAATACTAAATTGAAAAGTCTAATTGTTAAATATTATTATTTAATGTTAAAAACAAAGATTTAAGAATACTAATAGTATCTTTCATCTGTATATTACAGTATTTGTGTTATATCTTATCAAATTACATTTGAGAGCCAGAAACGATGATATTTGATGTTCAAACAAAACATGTGATCACAATGAATCTGCATAAATGCAATTAATTTTATAGACATTAATGTTAAAAGTAAAAATATTACTTCCAAAGTATGTACTAAATTTTGAAATCATTTATCAAATCTTAAAAATTTAATTAATTATACAATATATGGCAATGTAAAAAATTATGATTTAATTGTAATAATTATGTGTCTTAAATGTACATAAGTGTGTATAGTAAATTGTATGTAGTATATAATATAAAGAAGCATACCATCTCAAGGCTAATTAAAGAGTAGTTGATTATAAAAATATTCATAAAATGATAATATAGATTTGTTTTACTGCATTTATATGATTTCTTCATTCATAAAATTTATGCAAAGCACAATGCAGTATAAAAAACACAGCTATGAATTTTTAGCAATTTTATTTTTATGTTTCATAAAAATGCACAAAATTTTTGCATTAATTTTCATTTCAGCTGTTATATAATTCATACGTGTATATGTGGAATATATATATATATTTATATATTTATATATTTATATATTTATATGTATATATATTCCACAAAAATATCTAATAAATATATATATAATTCCACAAAAAATGTAAATAATGGAAGTTTCACTTTGGTATCATATACTTGTGTTCTAATAGTAAAATGACACAATGCATGTAAAATGCCAAAAGACATTTTTACACATATATTTTATTGTACATAAAATAAATAGAATATTATATTGTATAATCTATTACTTCGTGTATGTTGATTGCCTGTACTTAAATTTGTATTCTTTTGAGTAAAATCATAAGAAAAGTTATATGCATTGTGAAATTTCATATATTAAATGAATATGTAAATGTAAATTGAATAAATTTAATGTTTTAAGACAGTATTGAAAACTGTCTGTATTTAGAAATTAAACTTTTATAGTTTTATTGAAATAAAAAATATTCATTTTGTAAAAAAATATATCAACATCTAGTCACATTTAATATAGTAATGAGAGATAATAAAATATAGTAATGAGAGAGAAAGATATCTGCTAATTCCTATATTCGTATTATCATTCGATATTTCGTACATCCTTCAATAGTACACAGTTAGATATACCATATTCAAAAAATTAAAACTCGATAATCTTTATTTGATTTATTTATAATACAGTCTATTATTTAAATTTATAATAAATTGAATCTTAAGATATTTATTTTTATGATCGATCATTTTTACGAATGTATTTGTAATACATACATTTGTGATTGCAATGGATTGTTTTGAGGAAACTAAAGATTTGTGATAGAGAGCTATAGCGTCAACAAATGTTGTTAAGATCTGAAGGCTTTTTGTGGTATTTACTAAGATAGAGATGGTTAACATTGTTTGAATTTTAAACGTACTATGTGTAGTTTACATTAATATAATAATATCATTAAATAAAAGAGCAGTCAAATAAGGAATATCAGGAAACAATTATTTTGGTGGACTGAAGATATAAAGAAATTAAGGAAAAAAATATGTATAGCCAATAGAAGGAAGATACAGAGATGTAAAAATTTAAAGTAAAGAGCTATTCTGATAAAAGCATATTAGAAAGCAAAGAAAAATTTTTTAAGTGGCATAAAGATTGACAAAAATAGCTACTAGAAAAAAGCAAGCAATGAAATGGATAATAATTCTTGCAATCAGCCATATAAAATAATAAGACAGTTTGGAGCATTAAAGTATGATATTCAAGATACAGAAAAATAGCTCATTGAGATTGCAAATGAGCTCTTTTCACAGAAAAAAAGAACCATCTGAATAGAAGATAAGAATTTTGAGGAGAATGAACTGTACACAGTGGATGTAGAGATTTGCAAGATATGCAAAGTGATAGAATCTGATGGTATCCCTGATGAAGCTTTAAAAACTATGATAGGAAAATACCCAGAAGTATTGTATGTAATATACAATATTTTTTGGTATTGTGGAGCCTTCTGGATACCTCAAAAAAACAATTTCTAGTTTTGTTTCCTATAGATCCTTTGGAAGCACTTTCTTACAAATCCCTATATATAGCTCTTGTTCACCCCTGTGGAAAACTTATTCTTAGCAGATTAATGCCTTTGATCAAAAAGCAATGCATTTTCCAAAATACAATGTAATTATAAAGGAGGAAGGTCATCGATGGATGCCTTAAGGATTGTGACAGAAACAATAAAACGGGTCTATGAAAGGCCAATAAAAGAAATAATGCGTGTTATACTTATTACACTAGACATAAAAAATGCTTTTGACTCAAATAAATGGAAGAATATTATAGATAATGTAAAAAAATACGAATGAATTAACTAACCATATAATCAAGAAGCCAGAGATTTATTTTAATAATAGATAGTTCCTAATACGAACTAAAGGAGAAGATAAAGAACAGGATATAATTGAAAATGTTTTACAGAGATTTATTAAAGGATTAGGCATATGGAATGTAATGTTTGATGGATTCTTTATAGTAGGAACTTTAACAGCAACAACTACAATATGTTTTATGGATGATATAAGGATTTTGTTACAGATAGAAATATAGAAGAATTAGAAAAGAAAATAAATAATAAATAATTGTCATAATTTGAAATATGTCAGAATTTGCATTTAATCGAAAATAATCAATACCCTTATATATTTCATGGGAAAACCATCATTCTTGTTATACTTTTTGGTCTTTTTTTCTTGAACACATGAAGTACAGACATACTGATATAGTTTTAAGTAATGTATTAAGTGTGTATAATAAAAGATATATATCTTATTTGCATGATTTTAACAAACCTTTCAACAAAGTAAAAAGAAGATATTGTGTTTGTATGGTTCTGTTTATAATTGGTACATTGTAATATATAAATGTGTATACACATATACTTCACGATAAAAAATGGCACACCTCACAAATTCAATGTTTTCATCACTTAAGTGTAACAAATATACTCTTGATACGTATACATTTTTATTATAAAATACATAATATTACAAACAAACAAAAAGACTAAAAAAAGTTTTTTTGTTATTATAACAAAAAATATACAAAAAAACAGTGCGACAAAATGATGTCATCTAAACAAAAAAATGTGATTTAAATACTTAAAATAATATAATAAAATATATAACAATTTTTAATACTTTCTATGTTCTTCTTTATTTGTTAAAATAGCCAATATACATTTCGGAAGTACACTTTCGAAATGTACTTTAGAACACTTCAAATATGAACTTCAGGAACACTTAAATAGTTTTTTAAATATATTTTGGTTGTACTTTTATCCATTTTTATTTAATGCACATTTTTAAATCGGCAAAACATTGAAATTGTCTTCCATCTTCATAAACATTTCTTGCAAGTTGTGCCCAATAATTTTTAATTATTTTAAGATCTGATGATCTCGTTGATCACCTTAGAATACTTATCTTTTTTATTCAAAATTTGAAGCTTTTTTTAAAATCACACGTTTTTCACAATTGTTTACTGTTTTCGGTCGATCAAAACTCTTTTTTTTTTACGTATGCTTGTGGATTTTTTAATAAATTATACACTACTTTTCTGCTTCAATATATAATGCGTGTAATTTTTGAAACGAAATGGTTCTCTTTATGTAGTACCAAAACCGTTTTTATTTCGACGTCAGATAAAAATTTTCCTCTACCCATAGTAAAATGTTAATAAAAAAAAACGACAACAAACACACAATAATACAGTACACGGTCGGACGATTTAATAACAACAGAAAAAGAATTTCGAGGCTATGTCATCATTTTATCACATTGGTGACTGCTTTTGTTTACGTTTCAATTTAACTCTTCCAATAAAAACAACTTTGGAATTCTATTGAAATATATATATAAGGAAAAGATCAAGTTTTATCACATCTAAAAATAGCAATATTTAGGAGTATACTATTTTTTTATCGCGGGGTGTATTATATATTAAAATTAAAGAAACTTATTAAATGTTTTATTACATATCAGAAACCTTTCGTCTTTTTCTTTTTTGCGAATCAGGAAATTAAAAATACATCATTATATTCACTTATATAATAATCGTATTTACACATTTAATATTTAATGTAATATTGTGTGTGTGTGTATATATATATAGAGAGAGAGAGAGAAAGGGAGAGAGAGTTATATAGAATATGTTAAAAAGTTACTAAATGCCTTTAAAATATTTACATTTTATATAAATAACTAAATTTTATGTACGCTGCAGATTGCTTTAATCGAATTCAAAAGGACGAATTCCACTAAAAAATTAAATTTATGACATAGATGGTATAATTAAATCAAATGCATCGATATATAAGATGGATTGTATGATAATAAAAACAAAATATCATCATCAATTACATTTTATTAAATAAGAAATAGAAAATGATTACCTAACCTTTATTTCTTTATCTTACAGAGTTCAATATATTTACCATGGAATACGCAGTCACACGCAACAAACATATGGCGATTAGTGCAACAATTGAAAATAAATTTCGCGGAAAAAGCAAAAAGTTATTTTTTTTACTATTTACAGAAATATATTTTTTTAATAAATTAAATAATAGAGGAACAAGAAATAAAAACGACTTTCTCTTAACATAGGTAGAAACAAATTAAATTGAAGAAAGTAGTTTACAAAAAAATTTGTTTTTTAAACATATATATTTTCTTATATCACATACATAACACACATACCAAGGGAATTGAACCGAATTCTCGTCTTCGTTTTCATAATTGAAAACTCTTATCGTTTCACTCAACAACAGGATTGGTCACGATTGAACAATGTACACTTACCAATCTGGTAATGTCAATGTTAAGACACCAAAAACGAAACAGACAAGGTTGCCATCTAATACTAAAGAATAAACTAAACTATTATCCATGGAAGTGCTTTCAAGATTATACCTACGTATATAGATTCTGATTTTCACTTTAATTGCATTTATATTTTGAATCTTATGCAACAAGCAAAAAATGAATTGAAACTTTTATTTTCTTTTATTAACTTGGTTTTCCACAATTTAATAACTACTTTTATAATTTAAATATAACTAGATCCGTGGAATAAGTTTCTTTCTACATATGTACAATCTGTTGTATTACAAATTTGTCTAACCTTATTACAGAATGTTGACAAGCATTTGTATTCATTTGTAAAATGTCAAAACGTTGGAGCAATGATTATGTGGTTACGGAGCACCGTGACTTACAGGTACATAGAACGTCATATAACTTATTTTTAAAAAATAAATACAATTCAATAATGAAACATAATTCTTATATTTGTTATTGATTTCAGGCTAATACTATGGCCATAGATGCAACCGGGAATTATGTTTTACTAGCTGGGTATACATATATTTATTAATTTATTTACTTATTATTATAAACTTATTATTAAGTTCGTATGTTCTACAGTCGTAGATATTTTGCCATAAAACAATTGGATGAATGCAAGGAAACTTTACGAAAATTTCAACGACAAAGTAAATATGAAGTAGGTTCTGCAGAATGGAATCCCACACCATTAAATTGTCACTTATGTGCAATATCAGTAAGAAGTTATATTTAATGGATTCACCATTATTAAATAATTTCATTTATTTTTTTAAATTAATATTTGTTTTTTCAGAGTAATACTCGTATAGAAATATTAAGCCTTACAGTAAGTAGTGGATATGAGCTACAAACTATCTATAGTCTTAAAGCACATACCCGTGTAGTTAATGATATAAATTGGCATCCGAAAGAACCTGACATTATAGCTTCTTGTAGTATTGATACTTTTATTCATATTTGGGACATAAGAGATCAACGAAGACCTTGTTTATCTTTATCAGCAGTTGGTAAAGCAAAATAAATAATATATGCTTTTAGAATGAAATATATAATTGTTGTATTTTATAAATATTTTTAATATAGCGGGATCTTCACAAGTACGTTGGAATGGTTTATCGCCACATACGTTGGCTACTACTCATGATGGAGATATTAAAATATGGGATCAACGTAAAGGAAATAGTCCTGTTCAATATATAGCAGCTCATTTAACAAAGGTTGCTATTTTTAGTATTTCTACACACTAGTTTCTTCTATAATTAATAAAATCTTATAATACTTTAGATACATGGTTTAGATTGGTGTCCATTTAGTCAAACTCAATTAGCAACATCTAGTCAAGATTGTACAGTTAAAATTTTTGATATTGGGAATCCAAAAAAAGCAGAAAATATCTTAACAACAAATTCTCCTGTATGGAGAGCACGATATACAGTAAGTAAACTTAAATATATATTATTTTATGTTCACGTTTTACTTTTGCATTTTTTTATGAGATGATATCTCATTTTATCTTTTGACGTCAAATCTACAGCATTAAATAAGCAAATTAAATATGTAAAATATTTTATCTAGAAATAGAAAAGAGTCATAATTATAAACATTTTATAATAATATATAAAATGCATACAATTTTATATTTAATATATTAAAACATTGATTTTCTAGCCTTTTGGAGAAGGATTAGTAACCATAGTAGTACCACAGTTAAGACGAGGAGAGAATAGTCTTTTATTATGGAATACATCAAATCTTAGCGCACCTATATATACTTTCGTAGGACATACCGATGTTGTCTTAGAGTTCCAATGGCGACATAAAAAATTAGGTATTATATAGTATTTTAAACAATGTTAGTAATTAAGGAAATCTTTCTCCCTCTATCAATTAAACTGTACACAGAGAACACTGACTATGAATTAATTACGTGGTCAAAGGATCAATGCTTAAGGATATTTAAAATTGATCCTTTTTTAAAAAAGGTAAGATAATTATAAAACACTGTAGTAATGGAATATTCATGAAATGAACAAGAAATCTGTAGTATAATGTTTTAGTTATGTGGACATGACAGTGACGATAACGCCTCCGTTTTTTCCCAATATGGAAAAGATAATGCATTAAGTACGTATAAATTAATTATATATTTATTCAATTTGTTCAAATTCATTATTCATTTGTTAAGATATAACAAAGTTTATTTAAATAATATTATAGGTTCTTTGCAATCCGTACAACAACTTCAAATAAATGATGCGCAGAATAATCAGGAAACAAATTATATAGAAACAAAAATTGATGATTCTACATCGAGTACGGAATTAAGTACATTTTCTGAAAATACAAAAGATATATCATCACCTACACAACCCAAGACATTACAACAAGAATTTTCCTTAATAAACATGAATATACCAAATATAGAGGTAATATAGTTTAAAATTAACATAATAGATGTTGTCTATTATTATCTTTGTAAACATTATAAAACTATTTAGGTAAATGCAATGGATGCAAATGAACGAAGCTGTACTGTTACAGCATGTAATACTAATTATAACGTAGTACTTAAAGTAAATTTCCCTAGAAACTATCCATACAATGCACAACCTACATTCCAATTTTGTCCTGGAACAAGCATTGATAATGCAACAATGGCAAAATTATTAAAAGTTTTGAAACAGACTGCTCAACAACGCGTCAGAAAAAACCGTTCCTGTTTGGAACCATGTCTTAGACAATTGATTATAACGTTAGAACAAGTAAATAAATTATGATATTATTTTGTATTCTAATATTTTAACTACATTATTTTATATTCTTTATATTATTTATAGATATGTAAAAAAGATGAAAATGAAACCAATCATCTAGATTATTATATACAGGATAATGCAAACTTTTTAAATTCCTCTAATATGTGTACTACTTATCAAGATGCATATATACCATTTCCTCGAACATCCGGTGCCAAATTTTGTTGTGTAGGTTTGTAGACATGTTGTAAACATTCAATAATGTTCTAAGATCATTTATAATACTAATATTTCTCCAGGTATACTTGTATGTTTTGGTCGTTCTTCATATCAAAGAAGATCTTCAATAAAACCAGAAAGTATAACACCTAGAGCACTATCTGCTTTAGGAAGTGGAATTAATAATGGAGAACATTTTATGAATATGTATCCAAATACTTATGTGCCATCTAATGATGGTATATCAATCAGTTCTTTCTATTTTCAAGATCGTGTAAGTTAATATTTTTTACTACAGTTATTATATATTATCTTTAAATTAGCATAACAATAAAATTGATGTTAATAGAAAAACATAAGACGTAATTTACATGGTACAAATAGAATACACGACAGGCCATGTTGTAAAAATTATCGTTCATTGGTTACAATTTACGAAGCTTCGTCTCTATTTTTTGTTAGTAAAGAACTTGCAGAAAAATATATGTAAGTATAACACAAAATGTAATATTTTATTAATATAGCATTATTATAATATATAATAATCATTATATTATAATTATCATAATGTTTTTTCATACATTACTTGTCAATGACTTTGTGATGTTTTTTTGAAATTTATTTTTTGTTGTAGTATTAACATTACAGATATTCCAGCTATGTGTCAGTATAATGCAAATGTTGCTGCTACATTGGAAAGAGCTGATTTGGTACAAGCTTGGTGTTTAGCTGCACTTGTTATATCACAATCTTCTTCCAATAAAGGACAAAACTTATTTCAAACATCAGATAATGATCTTGCTCCATGGGCTTTACATCCGTTCGGACAAAATTTAATTCATTCTTTGTAAGTATTGTATTGTAAAAAATGTATTTGTAATACAACAAAAAGTATATTCTACGTATGTTTGTTCTTCAGAATTCAACATTATGCTAATCAATCTGACATACAAATGGCTGGTATGTTGAGCTGTGCATTTAGTTATCGATCTGAAAATGTAGATGCTACGCAAACACGAATAGTTAGCAAATCTGTTAATGTTAGTGTAAGTGATCTCACTATTTGTAAAAGCAATAACTTATAAAATTATTTTAAGATATTTAGCTAATGATTGTGTATATGCACAAATGATAAAACAGTCATATATTTGACAAGAAAAATATAATGATAAAATAGTAATAATTATTTTATCTGTTACTTTTTCTGACAATTCAAACAAAATCATAGTTGAAGATAGAATTTCGAATTAAATCTGACACTTCTACGTTATTCTATAAATAAATTACTAAATTATATATTATATTTACGATAATGTATAATGAAATCGTATGAATGCAGTTCAAAATTTCATTTTTTCCTTTATTGTATAATGACTAAGGATTTTAAGAACCATATGTAATTATAAAAGATTCATTATATATTGCTAGCAATTTATGCTTTAATATTTTATTCTTTTGTACTATAATGTACATGTACAGATGTGCTCGCATTATAAGTAATCTAAGAACTGATACAATATTATCTTTGTTATAGAGGCTTTCTGCGAATACTTCTAATAGTGGTGGTTGAAGGTAATGTATTTCTTTTAAATACTGTTCTAAAGTGTGTTTTTCAAATATATTGGTTCTTAGATTGCTTTGTCATAAAGATACTGTTCCTTAACTCTTATCAATATTATTGAAGTAGAAGTGTCAAAAAAGCTGATTTTATTCTTTTTAAGTGTTTATATAACACTTCAAATTCAAATATCAAAAATATTTTACATACATATGCATTAATTTCACATATAAATAGTAAAAATGTATTGAATATATTAAGAATATAGATAAAGAATTGTATTCTTAATAAACACGGATATATATAGTTAGCAGTTATTCATTATTTTTTATTATAACATTTTTACATAACACAGTTCGATATAAAATATTTTGCTACAACACAAGTAATATATTAATAAAACACATGTTTTAGCCTGGTGGTTCCCCATATCATACAATTCATCTAGCAGATACAACATTAGAAGGATGTAATTTTCCAAATTTAAAACCACATAGGTCCAATTCATGGTCTGAATCTCTAGATGATTTAAAAATTATACAAGATACATTTGGAGATTCTGTTAAAAATATTAAGTAAGTATAAAGAATTTAACCTTTATAAACATTGTTTTATAAACATTTAAAGTAAGATACAGTCTGTATCTATAAACAGAGTACTTGATGAAAAATATACAGCACTTTATAATGGATACAAAAAAGCATATGCGGAGGTACTACATAGATGGCAATTGTTAGATGCAAGAGCACAAGTGCTGAAGCATGTAAGCATAATGCCAATTGATATACATAAAGGTGTTGAATTCCAAAGTGAATGTCAAATCTGTGGTAAAGTTTGTAGAGGTCCTCAATGCTTAAACTGTAAACGATTAACATTTGAATGTGTAGTCTGTCATATTTCAGTTAGAGGTTTGTGTATGATTGTTATAATATAATAAAAAATTATTTCATAAATTTCCAATCATTTTATATTAATACTATATATATTTCTAGGACCAAGCAACTTCTGCATTCTTTGCGGTCATGGTGGACATACTCAACACTTAGCAGCCTGGTTTGTTAATGAAACAGTTTGCCCAGCAGGCTGTGGGTGTTGTTGTTTGCAAGAAAGTTCTATACTATTAAAAATGTAAATAATACAAAGAAGCAAAATTGTATATACCAATGACAAATAATACGTGTTATGATAAAATAATATTTTTTAAGAAAAAAGAGAGATTTATTAATTACCTGTTACAAAGAGTTGTGCAAATCTATTAATATAAACATAATCTATTTGTAACCTTATTTCTTGAATTATATAATGACAGATTTAATTGATCACTAATATTTACTGTTTTCTCGCTATTATTATTATTTTTAATATTTCACTCTTGGTTAACAAGATTCTCTTGATCCTTTTCAGCAAAAGATGAATTAAGAAATAATTTTTCCATCTCTTGTAATTCGACTGAAAATAAGAATTTGATAAATGTTTATATTTAATATTAACATTGTATAATGTATCATTTAAAAAAATATGTTATACGTTCATCGCGAATTGCTTTTTCTCGTGCAAGCTCTGGTTCTTTTATAGATCGTAATTTTTCTTCTTCTTCACGCAATGCAGTTTCCAAAATATAATATTTTTTCTGATTTTTAAATCCACAAACCACTCCAACAATTAAAAATGTCCATCTAACAAACTAAAGCTTATATAAAATTTGAATGAACGAAATTTTTTACATTACCTTTATTAGTGGATTAACTTCATATGGAAGATAAACAACTTTTTTTTTAACCATAATAGATAACTAAATAAGTAATAAATATATTCAATTTATTAACGAAGTAATTATTTTGTCTTTTGTATGTTGTGAATTAGGTTACAAATTATCTATTTATTTTCTTGTTTGGATTTATAGTGTACATAAACTAATCGAATAGTGAAAAAAAAACTAATCAAATAATTTATAATGCGTGCATGGTAATTTTTTAATATAATATTGATGGAATAAATTTAAAAAATAACTATTTATTTTTATAAATAGTTATTTTATAACGTTATTTCTAAGGATTTAATTTATAAAAAAATAGAATACATACATGTATGTGTGTGTGTATGTGTGCGTATATGTACGTGTGTATATATTGTATATATAAGAAAAATTGCTAAGATATTAATATTTTGTTTTATTGTCTTTGTCCAAGTACATAAAGAATGTTTGCAAAAGGGCTAATATCTGTAATGATTGGGCTTATAAGGACCTTCTACAGGAATATCAAGGTATTTAGACTGTTCTGCTGTCAACTTGGTTAACATTACACCAAGGTGATTGAGATGTAGTGCTGCAACTTCTTCATCTAATTTCTTTGGTAACATATGGACGCCTATGGCATAAGATCCAGATTTACTCCATAATTCAATCTGTGCTAATACTTGATTTGTAAAAGAATTACTCATGACAAAACTAGAATGTCCCGTGGCACATCCCAAATTAACTAAACGACCTTCTGCGAGTAAAATGATATGTCTAGAATATAAATATTTTTAATAGTTCAGTATATTCATTATATGTTGTATTCCATTATATTTTTCTGTTTATATTTAATATTCAACTGAATAACTACCTATTGTTTTTCAAAGTATATCTGTCCACTTGAGGCTTAATATTGATTTTACTGACTGCATTCTTTTCTAACCATGCAACATCTATTTCACAATCAAAATGTCCAATATTACAAACAATAGCATCATTTGACATGTTTAAAAAGTGTTCACCTAAAATTATATCTTTACATCCTGTAGTAGTGACAAAAATCTGACCTATTGTTGATGCTTGTGTCATTGTAGTTACCTGAAAAAAATAATGCAATTATTTATGATAAAATTTTGGAACTTTAAAAATGGGACATTTATAACAAATTAATTAATATTTTCGACATTTACTTGATATCCTTCCATGGCTGCTTGTAATGCATTTATGGGATCTATTTCTGTAATAACAACGCGGCCACCTAATGCTCTAAGACTTTGTGCACATCCTTTACCAACATCTCCGTATCCTGCTACCACGCACACTTTCCCAGCAATCATGATATCAGTTGCTCTTTTGATACCATCAATTAAAGATTCTCTACATCCATATAGATTATCAAATTTGCTCTGAAATAAAAAACATATCATTGTAAGAATTTATTATATTATATTATTATAAACTTTAAAGATTAAATACATATACAACAAACCTTTGTAACAGAATCATTAACATTTATTGCAGGCACCTTCAGGGTTCCTTCCTTCATCATACGATAAAGATTATGTACTCCAGTTGTAGTTTCCTCTGATATACCCCGACAATCTTTTAAGTACTGTGGAAACTTAGTATGTACAAGATTTGTAAGATCACCACCATCGTCAAGGATTAGATTTAAAGGTTTATCATCATCAAATATCAAGGTTTGTTCTATACACCATAGATACTCTTCATCTGTTTCACCCTTCCATGCATAAACAGGTACTCCAGTTTTTGCTATAGCAGCAGCTGCATGATCTTGTGTACTAAAGATGTTACAAGATGACCATTGTACCTTAATTGCAATAAAAGATCTCTTTGAACATAATTTTTATTGAAATATATATCTTATATATTATAATATTCTAAAGCTTGATTTGTTATAATATTGTGATTCTATTAAAGGGTCAAAGTTTATACTGTTGATATGATAAGAAGCCACAGTAACACAAAAAAATATGTTTGTAGTTTGTGATTAAATCTTGTTAAGATTTGCAAAAATTAATATTTATAAGATAAATTATAAACTGTATATTCAAGGATTATTACTATTAAGTTTTACTTGAAGCTTACATTTGCTCCAAGCTCTATTAAAGTTTCAATAAGAACAGCAGTTTGCACAGTCATATGAAGACAACCAGCAATACGAGCTCCTTGCAATACTTTAGATGGACCATATTTTCGTCTTATTGCCATAAGACCAGGCATTTCATTTTCTGCTAGAGTTATCTCTTTTCTACCCCATTCTGCCAGAGATATGTCAGCTGCAATAATAAAGTAACAAAATGTTGAATGAAAATGTTAATAGATCACTTTAAAAAAAGTTCTACAGATCATGAACCCTAATTTACATTTACAAAGCAAAAATTTCCATTTCTTTTATATATTTAAAATTGTAAAATAGTAATTGAATTACCTTATTTATTATGTATACATATGTCTTATATATTATAGCTTGATATATTATGATATATTATGATATAATGCATTCATACAATAAATATTCCAATATAAATTTATAAAAAAAACATTATACAAGAGATTATTTATACAAGAAATTAGAGTTAAATAATAAAAAAAACATGCATATTATAACTTGATGATATAATAGTTCACAAATTTACACATTTTTTTGTTTCCAATTCATTATCACATATTTTATTTAAACTTTTCAATATTATATATATTAAAATAATTCGACATACAATTATGCTGAAAAAACGTATATATAATGGAGGAAAAAAGGATTTAATAAAACTTTATACATATATATTCTAATTTAGATTATAAATAGAATATAGATTTTTTTATGAGTGTAATTGTTTAAATTTCTATATAATAACTACAAAATCATTGTTCCGTGATAAAAAAGCACGTGTTTATAAAGGTACCGATATATTCATAAATTTTTTTTATTGTTACTTACCAATTTTATAGGGAAGTTTTGAAGACATCTTTTTCAAAATTTGAAAATTCGACTAATCAATGAAAAGAAGTTATGAACAATTGATATGACAATCAATTTGTTAAAAGTACAAAATATCAACAATAAATCGCAATAAAATCAACTAAACTTGACTCTACCCCACGCCATCTCATACTGCACGCACTATTGAATAATTTCAGTCTTCCCCCTCTTTACTACCTTCATGGAATTCGTTACCATGCATTCAAGCCAACCATGTTATATCAGATTAATTTACATAAAGTAAAATGTTCGTGAATATTTACGAAAAAAATCGTCTACGAATTAATATTTATTCTTTGAGAAATTCTAGCATTCAACTGATTTCGATTGAGTAATTAGATAGAATTAATACGCTCTTGAACAACATCATATTCATAAATTTTTAATAATATTGATTATTAAATTCATACATTTAATTTAGTTTAATTTTTTTTATTTACAGGTTTTTTTTATTTCATTTATTTTTTATTTATTTTTGTTACCATATGAGAACCAATTATCAATTTTATTTCCTACTACTAATAGCGCTATGGTCTGTTTCTGAATAACATCATGTGACATAACAAGTGCGGTATCTTCATATTTAATGTAAAGACGTCATATAATAAAATGAGTTTTTCAATGCAATTTTAGAACGATTTTTCTTTATAGTGACATTATAACGATATAATCTTAAACCATGTTTTCAGTTAGAATATTAACAATAGATAGTTATCAAACAAATCCCATTCCTGAATTAGATCCCACGTTTTCAGAATTTCGAGGCAATGAAATTAAACATGTACCTGTGATTAGAATATTTGGTTCAACTTTAACAGGTTGAATTTACTTGTTTGTTATTATTGTTTATTCAATATTCATTACAAGAGTATTTTTCTGAAGTTTTGTCATTTGTAAATAATTATCGTAATATAATTTATTGTTATCTGATGTTTTTACTTTCAGGAGAAAAAACATGTTTACACATACATGGTGTATTTCCATATATATATGTACCATGTACCATCAAAGAAAATATAAATAGTTTTATGCATCGATTAAGTTCGTCAATAGATAATGCCATTAATGTATCATCAGGAAAAACAACATGTAATACTCAACATGTTTATAAAATACAATTAGTTCGTGGAATGTAAGGGAATTTTCAATTTAAAAGAAAAAAAAATATATCATATATATTATATATAACATAATATAGTTGAAATACTAATAATTTATTAATATAACAATTGCATTTTAATATTTTACAGTCCATATTATGGATATCATGAAACAGAATATCTTTTCTTTAAAATTTATTTTTATAACCCATTTATTATAAAGAAAGTAGCAGATTTATTGCAAGTAGGTATTTCATTAATATGATTATAAACTTATATATATTATAATAAATATTCACACATATATTATGAGTATTTCTTACTTGCTATAATATGAGTATAATATAAAATTTCAATTTCAGGATGGTGTAATTTGCAATCTAAAGTTACAACCACATGAAGCACATATTCCATTTATTTTACAATTTATGATAGATTATAATT